CTGAAGCTTGAAACTGAATCTGTCTGACTCTATGATTCAAAGGCCTTAAAATAGAAAAGATCAGGAGTGTTTGGAAAACAGAAACAGCAGCGATAAAAAATTTAACTCCAGAGTAATAATTCAGGGTCCTGCAGGTGGACAGCTCCTTGGGCCTCTCATTCCTGAAATTGGCCTAGGTTGCCATGGCTATACCCCAGGTTGCAATTCAGTCTGGAGTTCTTACATTAAATCATTCATTCATTTACACATTCATTCATTCGTCTAGGAAACATTTGGGGGCTGACACATAGCATTCATCGAGTGTTAGCTATTCTCATTCTGGCAATATGGGGTACATAGTGACTAAGCAGTCAGTAGAGCCATGTACTTAAGAGCACAAGTCCTAATGCTGTGTAATGGGATTTGCATCCTGGTTGTCATATGACCTTGGACAGGCTACCCAATCTCGAAGACCTCATTTCCATCCTCTGTAAAATGAGGGTAATACTAGTGCTGAATTGTATCCGTCAAGATAGACTAGGTTATGCTCCAATAATAAACAACTCCGAAATCTCAATAGCTGAATACACACAAATGCTTAAACATATGCTCATGCTGCATGTCCATTATGGGATGGCTGGGGCTCAGCTCTGCACCATCCCCACTCCAGGGTTCAGACTGAAGGAACAGCCCCTCCCTGAAATGTTGCTGTTTGCCATAACAGAGCGCACCTGAACCATGCCCTCTACCATGAAGCTGCTAAAGCATACACCTCTTTTGATAGCACTGCATCAGTCAAAGCCAAGTGCATGGCCATGCCTCACTCCATGGGGCAGGGAAGTTTAATTCTACCACGTACTTGGAAGAACTGGAAGGATTTGTTGAACAGCCCAGATGACTTCCACGCTCTCTCAGGATTAATTGATTATACACAAAGTGCTTAGAAAAGTATCTGGCACACAGTAGGCACTCATTGAATGTTGGCTATTATCATGGTTATGTGTCCCCACACCCTGGGTCTTTTGGGGTAAGTAGGATGCTGGGCCATTCATTTCCCACAAGGCCACAACTGCAAAATGAGAAATGTATCACCAGCCCCACCCTCCTCACTGCGTTGTAGTAATGACTAGATGATAAATGTGGCATTTATTTGAAGTTGAGACTTATTTTACACAAGTCATATAGCATCCTCATAGGCTGTTCCTATTCTGGGCAATGTGGGCTGCCACTGGCCACCTGGGACAGGGTGTTTTCCTTCCGGGGGGGGCCTCAATTGGAAAACATGGACATCGGGTGCCATGAGGACTTCACACCGGCTCTAAACCTGGCTGGTCATGAGATTCGCCAGAGCAGCCTGCAAGAAGGGATAAACAAATAACCCGCCCTGATAATGAGACCAACAGCCCAAGAAAAAACGGCCATGATGACACATTCTCAGACAAATCCCAGAAAATGGGTTTTTATATTTTTTAAAAACGCTCTATCTCCCTCATAACAGAAATGCCAATTTTTTAAAAGCCCAAAGGCAAAGAGCAGCAGGTGTTCACACACTGTTTGGGCAAGGATGTGGGAACCAGCCCTCCAATAGGCTAGGACCACACACAGCCACTGTCAACAGCTATCGCAATAGTAAATCTCATATACTTCTACCCATCATTGCTCCTTCTGGGATTGCACACTATATGTGCAGAGATATATGTACAAGGATAGTCTTGGCAGCACTGTTTACTGGCAGAAAAAAACTAGGAATAATCTAAATATCCATTCATTTAGGACTGGTTAAAAAACTGTAGTATATCCATGCAATTGGAATACCAAGCAGCTGTTAAATAGAAGAGCCGGATCTATGTGTACTGATAGGGAACAATCTCCAAGACATAGTTAATGAACAAAGACAGAGCTCAGTGGTGTGTAGAGGATGCTGCCGTGTGAGTGTGTGTGTGTGTGTGTGTACCTATAGTCTAAATAAGCTTGTATATCTACTGATTTCTGGAAGGGCTACAAGAAAACTGTTCGAGGGATTGTCTGTGGAAAAAGAAACTGGTAAGGGTGGGAGGGAGGTTTTTCACTTCAGGGCTTTAGTGCTATGAATTTTACTCTATGCCAATACACCTTTTTTATTTTATTTATTTTTTTTATTTTTTTAGTTAATCCTCACCCAAGGATATTTTTCCATTGCTTTTTAGAGAGAGTGGAGGGGAGAGGGAGAGACTGAGAGAGAGAAACATTGACGTGAGAGAGACACATCAATTGGTTGCCTCCCGACAGCCCGACCAGGGGATCGCGCCTACAACGGAGGTATGTGCCCTTGACCAGAATCAAACCTGGGACCCTTCAGTCCGCAGGCTGATGCTCTATCCAGTGAGCCAAACCAGCCAGGGTGATATACCTTTTTAAAAAACTAAAAGAAAAAAGGCACTGATTTCTGAGACACAGACTTGCTGACTAAGACTCTCCAGGGATGTGCACTTTTAATAAGCTTCCAGGTGGCTCTGACGGATGGCAGGTCCAGCCTGAGTCACTGGCAGTGAGCCAGCTCTGTCGCAGGTACCGGCTTCTGAGCGGTGAGCGAGTCCTGCGTGGCCCTGCCCAGGAGCCGCGTTGCATTTCCTGTCCTCTCTGTGTGTCTGCAGGCTGTACCAGTCAGTCAAGCTGATGTACTCCATTGGCATCTTCTTCACCTACGCCCTCCAGTTCCACGTCCCCGCCGAGATCATCATCCCCTTCGTCGTCTCCCAGGTGTCAGAGAGCTGGACACTGTTTGCAGACCTGTCTGTCCGCACAGCCTTGGTCTGTGTGACCTGTGAGTAGGATACGGGCACTCATTGCCCAAAGCTGTGGCTGGCAGCCACATTGGCATCTACCTCACTATTTACTGGCTCTGCCACTTGCCTTCTTTGTGAGCTTGTGCAAGATATTTTAGCTCTGAATCTCAACTTTCCACCTGAAAAATGGGTTCAGCAGGACTACCACATAGTAAATATTATAGTAATCTCTACCACCTACACATAGAAGGTATGCATTAGCTGGTTTATGGGAGGAAGAAGTATCATTCATTCGATCACACTCCTGTCTGCCTTCTGTATGCCAGGCGTGGTGCTGATATTATCTAACACTCATGAAAGCTTAGCAGCACAATAGTAACAACTGAGGAAACTGTGGCTCACACAATTTAAGTAACAGCTCAAATAGTATAGCTGCTACGTGACAGAGCTGGGATTTGAGTGTGGGTTATGTTGTCTGTGTTTTCCATTGTGCCATATTCCTGTCTATCATAAATTAGGGTCAAGTCCCTAATCACAAAGTGTGTTTAACTGTAGGGGAAAACCCCAAGGGTGCTAAGGGTCAGGTCCAGTCATATGAACCCATTGCTCAGAGCCCTTCCATGGCTCTCTGTGGCCTGATCCCCTTAGGGCCCTTTGTTAAGGGCTTGGAGATCACTCTTTGGGTGCACTCTTTTCTCCCTTCCACCCTCCCTTCCTTTCTCCCTTCCCTCATGCTTCTTTCCATTCACTTATTCACTCATTCATTCTACATTAGGTGCTCTAGTCTAGTAGATGTCTGGGAAACATCATGAACATGGGAAGGCATCACTGGAGACAGCTGACCTAATACCATGCCCTGCTTCTTATACAGACTGAATGAACAGGGATGCCAGGGGTTCTTTCTCAAAACATGTCCAGAGATTAGAAAAGGTGCCCCAAGAGGAATGGGGAAAGAACCAGGAGAAGTGAGGGTTTGGGTAACTTCTATATCTGTCCTCAACCACCTGTGTAATTGTTGTGAAAGAGAGAGAGCACAAATTGAGTCTTAAAAGCTCCACGCGTCCGAGTTTAAAGTTGGGGGAATTCCGTCTCAGTTGGGGGTCAGGAGAAACTGTGTAGTGCTTGGAGCAGCCCAGCAGAGATGCCATCAGACGTTATACTTTCCTTAACTGGGGTTCTATAAGCAGAAACAGCACCTGCTTGGTTTCAGGTGTTACAGAGTTCCCAGTCTGTTCCAAGACATCGGGAACCTGACAATATATTGTTTTGAGAGCCTTCCTAAGGAATGGTGTCAGTTGAAGAGAAAAACTGAGTGGTTCAGGCCACTCAGGTTCAGGGAAGGCATCACTAGAGACAGCTGACCTAATACCATGTCCTGCTTCTGGTATAGGCTGAATGACTACTTCCTCCTCCTTTAGTCATCTGTCAATTGTTACCCTTTATTCATTCAACAATTGTTTGTTGAGCACCCACTATGTGCTTGACATTGTGCTAGGCACGAAGGACACAATCATGAATAAGGAGGAAGAAAGGGTTCCTGCCCTCCTGAGGCTTACAGTTGGGTGGGAAATATATGCAGGAACATAATTACAGCAATAAAGATGTTCCATCTGATGGTTAGGGTCATAAGAACAGGATACCCTAAGAGCATATACCCTTAGCCTTGGTCAGTTCAGACCTGAAAGATAAGTAGGAGGTAGATGGAGTAAAGAGTGTACCACGTGTAGGGGGCAGGCTCTGCACAGATCTGAGGCAAATATTGACATCTGGCCTTTTTGGAAAACTAAAAGCAGTGGGGAGTGATCCAACATGAAGCCAGAGGATTTGCAGGGCCCCAAGGAGAGCAGGCCACAGAGAGCCATGGAAGGACTCTGAGCAATGGGTTGACATGACCAGACCTGACACTTAGCACCCTTCCGGTCTATCTTGCTTTAGAGCTTCCTTGAACATATCTTCTCTGTCACTGTGAGCTCTCTTGGAGAACTGACACTGACTTTTCTCTGTACCTCTTTAAGAAATTTATTAAACATCTGATGAAGGAATACTGTGACAGGGACCATCCCATTAGAGGACTGATGGATTCCCAACCATGAGAGTCTGTCTCTCTCATTCTCTGATTATATGTGTTGGAGCAATTTCATAAACACGTGATATTTTCTTCAAGAGCCAGCAAACTAGTGAGGGTGCTTTCCGAACAGGTTTTCCCTAATTTGTTCATAGGACAATCATATGGTTGTATAAAGTTGAATCACATAGGTTGTATATTTATTCATGCCCCTTTAAACATGATCAAAATTGGACTCCCCTAGAAAAATGCATGCTATATGTTCATTATATGCATAAAAGATGGAGATTTGAGTATTTATAGGAGAGATGGGGAATGAGCAGCCTAATGCTGTCTTCGTGTTTTATGTCCTCCTTCATTATCCAGATCCTTTTAAGAGTATGAAAACACGTGGCTGAGATTCTGACAGCAACGAGCTATCTCTCATTTTTCATATCCTTGCTTCTAGACAGTGCTTATATTATGTAGATTCGTACACATTCATCGTAGATTCAGCGTCCAAGTAAGAGTCAAGCACTCGTTGAGTACCGATGATGGACCAAGTTCCTTCTTATAAATGGGAGGCCCCACCGGAGAGTGGAAAGGGCCTTCGATTGGGCATTTGAAAGGATTCTCACCTCAGCTGTGTGACCTCTAGAGCTCTAGATTTCCCCATCTCTACAACGAGTAGGTTATAATAAATAGGTGGTCGAGGGGCCTTTCCAATAAATATTATATGTGAAAAACCCAGGAAGTTAAAACATAAAAGGAAAGCAGTCAAAACAGAGGTGGGAGTCCAGAGCCATGGTGCCTGACCTACTCAAGTCCGCAATGGGCTCCTACCCCACCTCTCCTGAATGGCTTATCAGACAGGTGGCATTATAAGGCTCCCCAAAATGGTTTCTTTCTGAGCTCCCTTCTTGCGGGAACCTCAGTGACACCATTTCTTTGCCCCTGCAGGTGTCTCAGCCATCATCATCCCCCGCCTGGAGCTGATCATCTCCTTGATGAGCTCCGTGAGCAGCAGTGCCCTGGCCCTCATCATCCCGCCCCTCCTGGAGCTCATCACCTTTTACCCTGAAGACATGAGCTGTGTCACCATTGCAAAGGACATCATGATCAGCATCGTGGGCCTTTTGGGCTGTGTATTTGGGACATACCAAGCCCTCTATGAGTTGATCCACCCCTACAACCATTCCATAGGCAACTCCACAGATGTCCATGCACGTCATTACCTATTTTCATTCTAAGAGTTCCCCCTCCTCCCATCCAGAGTTTGACTTCCACTGTGGATATGATATACATTCAGCAAACCCCACCATCTCTTATATTAACTAGTGCCTTGTTTACCTTTCTAAGAGAAATGTAGATTACACAAGTCTGTACAGAGACCTCTCAGGCTGTGCTATTTTTATCTATCTACTTATTTATTTATTTAAGCTTTGGCTATTTTTGGAGGTCTTTCGTACCTCCTAACCAAAACCACATTCAACCATTTGTATTATCAGCCTCGTTTAATGGGACAAGGGATGCCAATTGCCCATGATATCCCTGGAACCAGAGACCATACATATTTGTAAATGCAAAAGCAATAGTTTCCTCTATTGGGCAGCAGCTGCCCTGAAAGCAGCGACTTTAGAAACGTGTATGTTGGGGAAGAGGGTTTTCTATTTAGATATTCTTCTATGTGGAACAGTCCCAGACAGAACAAAATAGAACTTTGCAGTAATTTTATCCAATCATTGGTTCTGCCACTTATTTCCTATGGGATCTTGGGCCCAGAATTTAGGGCTGGTCTGTGGATAAGTTGTCATGCAGGACAGGATGACAGACAAACCCAGGCACCTGACATGAGTCCACCTCTCTTTGTTGGATCCTTACTCCAGAACAGCTGCTGGTGGGTCCACCTCTTCAGCATCTACTTGCCACATTCACCCTGACAGCGCTCACAGCTCTGAGGGCTGCCTCTACCTCCCCTAGTACTGGAAGGGCCTACTTTGGGTCAGAAACTATGGATCTGGCCCTCTGGAGGGAAAACTGGGGCCAGAGGAATTGTCTCAAGGACAAAAGGACAAAGCACGCATGTTCTTACACTGGAGGTCGCAAATTGGCCACCCTGAGCCAAATTTTCCCACTGATAAGTCTGTTTGGCCCCTCTGGCCCCTGCACAGTGTTTTTAAAAAAATAATTGCTTGCCAATATCTAAACATTGTAAGATTCCGTATAAAAGTGTGGATTTCCAGCATCTCTAAGGAAAAAAAAATTGAAAATATCTGGCAAACTGGGCCCCCAACATTCTCACATGGCACTAACTGGCTATGTCCAGACAGCAGTGGCCCCTACAAACAGCATGTGCCCTTTCCAATTCACCCAGTCCCCATCATCCCTGATTATATCCCCAACTCCAGACTGGGCATCGGCTGCCTCACATCAATGCATATGGGCTGTTATAAAAAGGAAAAAGGGAAGGCATGTGTCTTCCTTGTGGTCACTCATTTATGTCTTGTACTTGGGCCCTGCAGGCACCTGAGGTTGTCAACTATCTTCAATACATAGAGCATTCTTAAATCTCTCTCCCATGAAAGACCGCCCACCCCACACCCTGCCTCTCCAGGATACATTGTGACCCACTGTTAAATGGGCATATCTAGAAGACTACTCAAACTAATCGCAGATGTTAATGGAGGAACAGACTGAGCTCTACTAGTTCAGGCCCTTCATTGTCCGAGGGGGGTGGAGTAAAATGAAAACGGATAATACTCTCACTCTGCTTTTAAGTTAGTGATAAAAAAAAAATTTTAATGAGAAAAATCATTCAAGGTACTTCAGGAGAGCAAGACTGGGTTAGTCTGAACTTGGGGTAACAAAACATGTTCATTCTCTTCCTTGACTGTTTGGAAAATAAGTTAAGCTCTTAAAGAGAAAGCCATAGGGGCGAAGAGGAGAATGAAGTGGCCAGCCCAGTAGATGTCCTGAGCCATCAAGAACTGCCAGGATCACCCCACCTTAGGTCAGGGCTGCTTGCCCACACCTAAAATGTAAGTGGCACAAGATGACTTTCAGCGAGGGTAGTAGCATCCCTGGGGAAAGGGGCTTGAAGGGGGACAGAAAATCAGAATTTGGCTTTGACAAATGCAAGACAGAGGAGGAGGGACACCTTCCTCGCAGGCCTTCATTCTGCTGCAGCTGGTGCCACAGTAATGGCCTCTAGAGAGACATCGATCTTGAAACAGCCCAGATGTTTCTTGCCGCTGCTTAGGATATTCTGGATGCGGTAGTTTCCGGTACTGAGCCAGCTGGGCAGGTCCAGGTGGGGTATGTTGATGACACTCTTGGGCAGTGAGTATTTGCCCTGTGGAAATGCCAGTGGATCACAGGTCAGTGGGAGCCGACTGATAGAACTCTCTCCTGGAGCCACCGCTAGGTTGCAACCAGGAACTATCCCTCCTCCCATCCTCCTAAGAGCCACAGAAGATTGGAGACGGCCATAGCGCCGTAGAGCACTGAGGGTCACACCGAAGTTTCACAGATGAACAAACTGAGGTTCCCAAAAGATAAGCAACTCAGAATAGAACGCACCAATGTACATCCACCCATAGACATCCAGATCTGCAGGAGAAAGAAGGCAAGGATCCTTCTCTCTAAAACCCAGGTCTTTACTCCAGCCAAGGGGATAACGCTCTCCCTCCCTGAGTACTTACTTCTTTGAAGGGACAGTGGCAGGGAAGCCCATAGGTGTGCAGGGGCTCTGGACAGGGCTCTCCAGGGGGAAGGAAAATGTCAAATACGTTACAGATGTCTTCATAGGTACAGCTACCGATTTGTTCTACACATGGGACTTTGACCCAGAGGCCAGCCATTTCCTTCTGCACAGTTAAGTCCACCTGATGAAAAGATTTTGAAAAAAGTGTCAGTTTCAAGGCAAACATGCTAGTTCCTCTGCCCCTTTAAAAGGTCAGCATTTCATTTCAATCACACGGTTTTTAATTGGTTGGGATCTTCGGAGATATTCCGATCCAGAAACGACAAATGGTGGCACGTGCCCCCAATATTATCCTTTCCTGTGCCCATGACAGACATGAATCATCAAATGTGACTTTCCCCCTTCACTGAACCACACAGTCTTAGAATTCTTTAGGTAGTCACCACCCATACCCATTGGTTGAAGCTAACACTTGAGTTGAAATGCATTTGTCATCTACCTGCTAATTGGCTAACTGTAGCACTGCTTCCTAGACTTTCTCAAAGCAACTATAAAAGGCAAATAAACTTATGAAAGGAACTTTAACCTCAGTAGAGATGATATACAAGATTGGAGAGGATTTTTACAAAATGCTCAGTGTCACAAATGTGTGGGGAAAGCCAAATCTGCTATTGCCAGTGAGAGGACAAACAGGTTGAAACACTTAGAGGCACGTTGGCAATATATATATCAAGAGACTTAAAAAGTCTATATCTAGATGATCAGAAAAGTAGGAAAAGGTGCATTTCAAGGATAATTTCTGCAAAGCTCTTTATAATAGCAAAAAATAAAAAACTACTCTGGAAACAAACTAAATATCCAACATTAGATTTAAGTAAATTATGACAGATCTACAACAGTGTATTTCTGCCATTAAAAACGATTAGGTAGATCTATGCCAAATGCCACAGAAAGAGGTATGGACAATAATAGTATGATGCAAAAAGTAATAATAACATGTCATATAATCCCACAGCATAAATGTACATATATTTACAAATGCAGAAAAAAAATCTGACAGGATATGTAAGTAGCTAACAATGCCTATCTTGTGAGGAGTTAGATTATAAGAGGACATTTATAAGGAGCACTGGTTATTTTCATATATATCCATTAAATTAATATGTATGTTATATGTGATTATATGGGGGAATAGTCCAAAATGTTAAAAGTGCTTACCTCTTATCACGAGGTAGAGAAATTTCAGATGATTTCTTTTAACCCACCCCCCCCTATTTTGACCATTTGTGTTTTCTAAAGTTGGCTACATATCACTTGCTAATCGATGTGCCTGTTTTACAGTTAATAATGACACCATTACCGAAACCAAATTGCCCAACCAGAGCTGTTGGACAACAGTGCATACTGTGCCATCCTGTCCGGGAGGCCGGCGCACTCAGTGGGAAGCTGTTGGGGCTGACATCAGATTCCTTCCAATCTCAAACATCATGGTACTGAGAGTCTATGAACCTGAGCACGAGTCTACAAACCAGTGCCTCCTTTGCTGCTCTGGGATGCCAGGCCTCCAGTATCCAGTTCCCTGAGCATAAGTCCCCCAGTGCCCTGTCAGCTGGCCCCTGGCACCTTCCCTCCAGCTCCTGGCCGATCCCCCCTCCCACCACCACTCACCTTCAGAGGAGAATTGAGCGGGACACTTGTCTGGGTCTCAGCACTCACAGTCACATTCCCAGGCTCTACAATGGGGTTAGGTTCCACATTCAGGCTTTTGATCAGCACAGGGTCCTTCCCGTCGTCACAGTTCTCCCAGGAAAAGCTGCTGATCCGGAATGCCTAGGGACAATTACGGCAGCAAGAAAAGAGAAAAGAAAAGTTGACAAAAGGAACTCTCGCAGGTCAGAAAAATCAACAGAACAAGCTACTGACGGTGTGACCCTGGGAGAGGTAGGTTGGTGAAATCAAAGACTCAAAAGACATAATTTCCCGAAAGTGTGCTAAACTATAAAATAAAACACAGTATACCCGACCTTGAACTGGTTAATGCTAGAGGAGGAACTGAAACTCAGTGTTACGGATGCTCAAACACTCAAAACAGGAGAACTAACTATATCCGCCTCTGGTAGGGACCTTCTCTGATCTCCCACCTCCCTGCTCCCCACTCCTCTCTAGCCAGTCTTGGGGTTTCTTTAGAGCAGTGGTTCTCAACCTTCCTAATGCCGCGACCCTTTAATACAGTTCCTACTGTTGTGGTGACCCCCAACCATAAAATTATTTTCGTTGCTACTTCATAACTGTAATTTTGCTACTGTTATGAATCGTAATGTCAATATCTGATATGCAGGATGTATTTTCATTGTTACAAATTGAACATAATTAAAGCATAGTGATTAATCACAAAATCAATATGTAATTATATATGTGTTTTCCGATGGTCTTAGGCGACCCCTGTGAAAGGGTCATTCGACCCCCAAAGGGGTCGCGACCCACAGGTTGAGAACCGCTGCTTTAGAGGGAAGCTCCTGGAGGATTTCCCTTTGCAGCCCATGCCCTGGACTTGATTCCCATTACACACCCGCAGTCCCCCAACCCAATCCAGGGCCAGGGACAATAGTAAATACAAAACACAATGGGAAACAAAACATCCAAGCCCCGCCCTCCAAGGGATATACAATTAACCCAGGAAGGGAATAGGACACAAGAAAAGATTCCCAATGAGCCACTTGTTGATAAACAATCCCATTGAATGAATTAAGCTCCCCAGTCCTAACCAGTGCTTTCTTACTCCCATCCCATTGCTCATGCCCTGTCCCCATCTGAGTCACCCTCCTCCCCTCTGCTGAGCCACTTCTCTTCTTCCTTCACATCCCCCAGAGGTCTCCTGATTCCACTATCTGTCCAACTAC